AAGGCCATCATGTACTACATACCTATATAAAGATGTCAGAGGTAAGGCAATTGATTCGGTCACTTTTATTTGTATAAAATAAAATTTCATTTACTTCAGGTCTCGTTTGTTTTTATTTAAATTGAATCAATATTGCATATAGGAGTTCGTTTTTATGACTATTGGATTTAGTATATCGTTTAATTTTACTTGTGTTGTAATTATATTGGCAACTAATTCGGTCACTTTTACGGTGTATGGTATTATATTTATTTTACTTCGCATATGCTTTTATCAATATTGCACAGGGGTATGTCGCTCGTTTTTGTGACTATTGGATTTAGTATATCGCTCAGTTAAAATGTTACTACTCGTACTCCTAAATTATAAAACAGTTAAATTATAAATAATTTCTTAAATTTGAAGAAATAAAAATTTTTAATCCATTTTTCTTAAACTGACGAGTAATATTTGACGAGCAAATCTATAAGTTTTATCACATAAATGTACCATATATTCACCTAAATTAAATTACATACTGATTTAAATTGTTAAAATTTTAACAATTGTAGATAATTGAGTAAATTATATTTGCCACAGGCAACAGAATAAAAGTTAAAGCTCTTACAAAATAAAAATACTTCGTTGGTGTTGAATGTTGAATCGTTTTTTCCTAATGCTTGTATCCATTTGTCCCTGATGACCTCGTTCTTTGGCAAAGTAAAAGTAGGTATAGCATTTACGTTCTCCTTTTCTCATATACTATTGCTTCTGCATGCTTCAACACAACTTGCAAAAAATTAATTGTTATGGCCAGACTTATTGTCTGTGGCTCACATTAGATGTTTACTCAGATTCGTTTATTTTCTATTTTTTAGTGTCGACAAAGCTGCGATATAACTACTTTTCGTAATCTGAAATGGCCTTAATATTGTCTGTGGCTCACAAATGAGATGTAATTTAAGATAATGCAATTTTTGAACTCGTGCTAAAGGATAATTGACCAAGCTTTAAGTTTTCTGCGTAAACGTCCACATCCACCTATTCTTCACGTTTCGATCCATGTAGAAAATCACAACTTTAACACAAGGTGTGGGGCCCACATAAACTCCGCAACATAAGGTCCCACAATATTTTTTAATTGTGAATCAAAATACAAAAGCAACGTCATGTCCTGAATACTGTTAATCTTCCACATAATGCTAAGGTGAACCTTAAGGTCACCGGGCTTTGGATCCCTTTAGGTTCATATTAAGCGGAACTATATTCAGAAGAACCTTCATTGGGGAGGGTCTTTAAGGCCCTTAATGAGGCCATTTCCCTTAGATACACAAGGCACTGCGACTGTGTAAGAGTGGCATACACCGTCGCATTTTTTTAATCGCCTACAGAAGAAACGATTTCAGACTTTTTAGTTGGTATGAATTCGGGCGAGTATCAAGATTATTAGATTTTGGTATGAATACTTTCCTTTAACTTTCTGGAATATATCTATAACAGCAACTAGCCCTGAACATTTGCGTCAGAAGTGGTATAGGTTCTTGCAGACCTTCCTGCGACAAGGAGTGATATTTACAATCGTGCCCACATAAACCTTTGCCTGTCGAAGGCGAATTATGCTCGAAAAACTCCTGATCCCGCTTCTCGGTCTCGGTCGTGGGGGTGGCAAGATATCCTCTGGTACTGGAAAGAGTCGTTTTCAACCCAACACCTGATGTTTGTACTTCAAATATTTCTTTCTTTTTAATGGTTAATTTTGAATTATTTTGTTTTATTAATTATACCTCCCCGGCGGGTTAGGCCACGAAATATCCGCAGTAAGGTATGCTTGTGGTAAGAGTCCACTGAAATCCAAATAGAAATCCAGACGCGACGGACTCCCAATGAGCAGCTTTCTGGTCTGCTACTGATCCCTGAGGGACGGCAGAAATTATATGTGCTTCCTTGCACGACGGAATCATTCTCAAAGGCTAGGAGAAGAAAACTCCGAAATAAAACAAAACAGATGCAATGCACAAAACACAAAGATTGAATACTCCAGGTGGTAATCCAGTAATGCTGGAAAATCCACACTCTTCGAAGGCTGGTCTCATGGATTCTGGGGGAGACCACTTATTGCATAGTAGATCGGCGTTGATGGACCCATTTAGAAGGAGATCGGGGGTCATGCGATCACCCCCATTGGTGATTGCAGAGAAAAAGGACAGAGTTAAGGATAATAACTCTGAGAAAAAGTCGAATAAGTTTGCGGAAGACAAAAAAATGAAAACCCTAGAGGGTAATATGAAAAGGCATCTTATACAGTAGAATAAGTTGACGACTCGAGAATAACCGAGTTAGAGAGTCTTTGTAAAGTGTTACAAAACGAGATCTGCAAATTACAGGCAGAGAATGTAGATTTAAAAAATCAAATAAAATCTGCATCAACAGAAAAGAAAAACAAAGATGCGGAAGTTATCGTATACGAAACTGGCAAGAGAAATTGACTGGATCCTAAAACAGAATAATGCAAAGAAGCGAAAAATGGAAAAGTCTCCTGAAATAAATTCAGAGACGACAGTTAAAAAAAATAATGAAACCAGCCCTAAAATGAAGGCTGAAAATCCAAAAAAGCACAAGCCTCCTCCGGTTATATTGAGCAACATTAAGAACTATCCCTACATAGTTAAGATATTAAAAGAAGAAAGAATAAACGTTAAGGTCAATATGATTAATAATGACCAATTAAAAATAAATGTGGAAAATGAAAATGAATACAGATTACTAACAAAAGCTATAAATAAGGCTAGACTGGAGTGGCACACGTATGAGAATAAACTGACGAGGCCATTTAAAGTTATGGCTAGAAATCTCCATCCATCGTGTGAGCCATAGGATATAAAAAAAGAGCTTATTAGCAGAGGCTTTAAATGTCTAGATGTTGTAAATAAAATGAAAAGGAAGAAGGAAAATGGAAAATATATTTCAGTAAGACTTCCGTTCTTTATGTTATCTTTTGACCATTCGGAAGAGATAACCAAGATCTATAAAATCGAATACTTACAGCACATGAGAGTAAAAATTGAAGCTCTTAGAAGCAGCGGATCCATTCCTCAATGCAAGAGATGCCAGAGATTTGGACACACACAAAATTTTTGCCAAAGAGAGCCTAGATATGTAAAATGTGCTGGTAATCATATGACAGCGGAGTGCAACAAGAAGGATAATTTTCAGCCCAAATGTGCGAACTGCAATAAAGCACACCCTGCTTGCTATCGAGGCTGTTTGGTTGAAAAAGAATTGCAAAAAAGAAGATTGAAAAAGAATAAGACCAAACAAAACCAAGAGGAGGTAGTGCAATACTAATAAATTAGTAATATAAATTATAATGAAATACGAAAATTTTTTATGTATGGTGCCCATTTAAATTCCAAAATTGTACCTGCTTTACACGAGTGATTTGCCACAAACAGAAAATGCTACAATAGCCACTTTTGCTGACAATACTGCAATATTGGCAGTAGGAGCGAACATTAACGATTCGACAAAAAAATACAGGAGGCAAGTAACAAAATAAGACAGTGGACTAGGGATTGGAAAATGAAGTTGAATAAAGCAAAATCGGTTCACATAAACTTCACCAGTCGGAAAATAGTGAATCCACCACAAATTAACTTAAATGGAACGAACGTAGTGATCCATAACTCAGCAAAATACCTAGGAAAGACTTTAGATGTCAAGCTAAGGTGAAAAGAGCATATAAAGAAGAAACACACAGAATTGGAAAATAAATATAAAAAAAATTATTGGCTCCTAGGTCGTAAGTCCAATTTGGCAATTGATAAAAAGATATTAATTTATAGCCAAATCATTAAACCAATATGGTTATATGGTATTCAACTGTGGGGTTGTGCCAAGAAGACTCATATTAACAAAATTCAAACTTTCCAGAATAAGGTTCTACGGGGCATGGTAAATGCCACGTAGATATTAATTTATAGCCAAATCATTAAACCAATATGGCTATATGGTATTCAACTGTGGGGTTGTGTCAAGAAGACTCATATTAACAAAATTCAAACTTTCCAGAATAAGGTTCTACGGGGCATGGTAAATGTGCCATGGTATATACGTAACAGTGATATTCACAGGGACTTAGGAATTCCTTTGATTTTAGATGAAATTAGGAGTTGTGCTACAAAGTATAGGGCTCGTCTAGAACATCATATAAAAATGGAAGCAGCTCGGCTGCTAGACAATGGCGTTATGACAGAAAGACTTAAACGAACAAGAGCTTTCGATTTAACACGAAATACCAATTTCCTTATGGAAGGTATTTAATTCCTAAAACCAAGTTAGCGCGGAGGTAATAGTTGGTCTGTAGGACTAGTTTTATCCGAACTAGTTTTACTAGTTCAGAGTTTAGGTGATTTTTTAGAGTAGGAGTCACGCTCCTCCACTGTCGGAGGAAAAAGGCAGATAGCGCCGTCCTTGTGATCATGCTATGGTGATTCTTTTTCTCATTATCATTCACCATTTATGCTATTCGTCATAAATATGCTATGTTTTTTGGCAGTGAAGTACGGTTATTGAATGAAACTCAGCTCCTATTAATTAATAAAAATTCTGTAGCCTCGAAACCAGTGCTGTCACCAATATCAATATTACCCCAATATCTGAATTTTTTTAAATCTTCAATTCGAAGAATGGATAAAAAGAAAGTCTTCACAAACTCTTCAATATCTTCAATTGAAGTTGAACTGAAAAAAGCCAAAATATCACAATTTCAATTTGAACCAAATCAGACATCACAACGAAAAATTTATGATATGTACAATGACACATGATGTCATAACGTATGCAAATTTATTGCGCCTAGTCCAATAATATAGAATGAATAAATTTTGAAAAATATGGAAAAAGGTGTAAAAAATTTCTTAAACGACTTAAAACTATTTTGTGTAGACGCTGTCGTACAGTATTGATCAGATATCATTTCAATGCAGTAAACTCATCAAAATTAAGGCGTTGCGTTTGGAACATCCCTGATTTAAATACAGGGTGGGCATAAGAAATTAACCTAAAAATAAAGTGAAGGATTTTTATCTGATTTCTAATTTATATTTACTTCAGTTAAAGCTACCGGTGGTTTCTTTCTTTTTGTAAGCTGCAATAATAGGAAAATTGTATGTATAATGGACAGAGACTGGCGTCCATTTATATATGGCGGGCTTGCTTCAATCACAGCTGAGTTTGGTAAAATTTAAACATTAACAAAATAGTACCAAGATCATTGTGTCTTTTTAGGGACCTTTCCAATTGATACGGCGAAAACCAGATTGCAAATTCAAGGTCAAAAAATCGACCCAATTTTTTCTGAGTTAAAGTATTGTGGAATGATTGATGCTTTTATTAAGATATCTAAAGAAGAAGGCATATCTGCCCTCTATTCTGGGTAATATAACCATTTTTAAAAACTAACACTTATATTCTGTTAGTCGTATTACTTGACGCGATGGGTTTTTATTCAAAAATTTTATTCAAAAGTTTTTCAGAATAAAATCATTTCCAAAAGTTCAAATTTTATACTGAAAATCAAAATACTTTTTAATAATACCGCATCACCTCGAATGATGCGACTAACAAAATATGAGTGTAAATTTTGCAAGTGTATGAATTTATGGAAATCCAAAAATTTTCTGATTTTTGAAATATTTTGTGTGACTTTATATTTATAATTCCACATAAAGTAAAGTAATGCCTACTATTTTCTTACATATTACTCTTATTAAGAATTCTTTTGCTGGTATAGATTGTAGTATTCAACAAAGATCCATACACTTATAACCATAACCCAATAATGAAGTTTATTTAATTTCAAGATTTTCAGTATATGGCCTGCTGTTCTGCGACAGGCAACTTATGGGACTATTAAATTTGGTACCTATTACACTCTAAAAAAAATGGCAAGTCATTATGGCTTGCTAATTGATAACGGAACTGGTAAAGAAAAAATTTTGGGAAATGTATTGTGTGCAGTTTCAGCTGGTGCAGTGTCAAGTGCAATTGCAAATCCTACAGACGTTTTAAAAGTGAGAATGCAAGTTCATGGTAAAGGATCCAATAATCTTGGCTTATTTGCTTGTTTTGGTGAAATATATCGATACGAAGGCATCAAAGGTTTGTGGCGAGGTGTTGGACCAACTGCTCAGAGGGCTGCTGTCATTGCAGCAGTTGAATTGCCAGTTTATGATTTTTGTAAACATTACTTAATGAGCACTTTTGGTGATAAGGTAGTAAATCACTTTATGTGAGTATAGTTATATTAAACATTGGAAAAGTATAGCTAACGGTGTGTTGTTTAAAGCTCTAGTTTTGTAGCCAGTTTAGGAAGTGCTATTGCCTCAAATCCAATTGATGTCATAAGGGTAAGAATTTTGAAAAAAATAAGAAGTGAATACATAAATTTATTTTATTTTTTTTTTGTTAAGACACGATTGATGAATCAGAAAAATTTTGGTGTAAATTTGAATTCGCCGTCACACACTGCTTCAAAAAGAGTGTATAGTGGAAGTCTGGATTGTTTTTTCCATGTAAGATACACCATATTACTAAGTACACACATTACTTTCTAAAAACTTACGTGAATTTTCAGACAACCAGAACTGAAGGTTTCTTGGCGTTGTATAAAGGTTTTGTACCTACATGGTTTCGAATGGGACCTTGGAATATCATTTTCTTTATTACATATGAACGCTTGAAGCAATTTTATTAGATATAGATTTATAAAATTGAAGCGCTAGGTGTCCATTTAAAAAAAGCAGCATTTAGTATTTTTGATTTTACCCGATAAAAAACTAACCGCATATTATAAGTTTATGTAACTAGAGGCGCAAAGTACATGTGTGCATGTAAGAGCTCATCCCTGATTATATCTGCTCAAAATAGTCAATTTATGTTATATTGTTTAATAATTTCAGAAATAATAATATACTTGTGGCTTATTCAAAATAAATAATATACAAATTCATTGTTTAAGTTTCATAAATTCTAGTAATATTTAAGTTTTTGTCATGTCCTTATTAGTAGAAAATTAAAAGTTTAAAAAATGAGTTTAACTGATTTGTTAGTTCAAAATAAAAATGTTTATTCAATAAGTTGATGTTCCAATTTAGTTTCAAAATATATTCAAAAACTATTTTCCTTTAGCGTACCTTTATGTCTCCATAGCTACAAGTGGAATTGAGTCGCTAGGGCCGTGGGGAGGATCCTCATTGTCCTTGGCTATAGGTGCTGGTGTATCGTCATCGTCATCATCATCAGGGCGAGTAGCTGCAGCTTTTGGGGTTTTGGATTTCGTCAGAGACATATAGTGACGGCTTTCATTATCATCTAAAATTTTAAACGGTTGATCTTTGCCAACAATAGCAATTGATATATTTAAAAGTGGAGACACCTCATCTTTAGACAATAGATCTTCATTTGGCAATGAACCACGCAAAGCTTGAATTCCATGGCAAATTAAGTCGTCCTTTGAACAATCAAGAAAATCGTTAAGGTGTCTTTCCAAATAAGTTCGGGCACTCTGAGATCGTGATCCAATAGACATAGCTTTACAGTCAAAATAATTTGCTGATGGAAGCACTTGATAAATATGGGAACCTTTATCATCGTAACCTCCTACAAGCAATCCTACACCATAAGGACGACGGTCATAACGCTGAGTTGTTATTTGCATTTTATTACCCAAATCTAAAATTAATCGTGCCACGGGGTAATAGGTATCGTACGTGTACTTATAGTGCAAGCATTGGCTACGCAAATAACAACTTAACACCCTGGCATCCGCTGTAATACCAGCTATAGAAATTCCTAAATGATCGTCTATTGGAATAATTTTTTTTTGGTACGAAGAAAGTTCAGATGATGCTCTTTTCAAAGCTACTAATACAGCATAATCCGTATTCTTTAATCCAACTGTAGCTGAACCAAGTTTAACTGCTTCCATGGCATATTCCACTTGATGTAGACGACCTTGCGGACTCCAAACAGTAACATCGCTATCATACTGATTACGGAACATTTTCAATGATATTTTATATTTCAATTAATTTTTATATATAATTTTTTAAGTTAATTCCTTTTATACTTAATGAATAGTGAATAAACTAAATATGAATGATAAAATGACATGCAAATTTTGAGCAGTGATGCCGTCTTAGAAATTTTGTCGTTATATCTAGCGTAATTTTCAAAACAGCTAAAAAATTAAATATCTGTTGACTTTCTTCTTACTGAGTTAGTGATAAAACAACAATTATGACGAACAATTAATAAATTTTTTATTTTTGCGCTTAATTATACGAAAGCAAATTTTATATTTATACGATTTTGCAAAAAATGCTTATATGTGTATACGTATGTTGGTACTATTTATTTACTTTAAGTTTCTCTTTTGATTTAAGGCTTGAAGTGAAAAAATGAAAAATTAACCCAGCATTTACACGTACAAGTTACTTGCAAGAAAGTTGCAATACATACAAAAATTTTACTAACACATTGAAATATTTCTACTTGCTTGTTTACTTGCAGTTCAACTTGCAAGAAAATTTTGCTGCCAGTAATTTGAGCAAGTAATTTGACATATTGAGAAATTCACAAAAAAAAATTTGTTGTTTTGATTTTTTTTTTTTTAATTTAAAATTTTTGAATTTTGTTTTGAAAAAATTAAACTTAGCAAACTTATGGTTTCTAAAATTTATAAACAATTATATATATTGCTAGTTGTTTTCTTCTCAAAGACATTTTCAAAAATTAACTTGCTAAACGCCTACGTCATAATAGCAAGTAATTTGACATTTCGAACAACTAATTGACAATTAATATTATACAAACTTGCATGCAAGTAACTTGTATGTGTAAATGCTGGGTTAGATATAAAGACATTATTGACAATATAATTAATGAAAGACAATTCTTAAATATTGATATAAATACATAGTAAAGAAAAAATTTGAAGAGGGAATTAGAAAATAATATCTAAAATACAATCAAATATTATTTTTTAAATACAAATTTTATATAAACTTCAAAATTTTACCTCTGTTTTTATTTGAAAAAATATTAAAAACTTAGTATCATTTATATCAATTACCTAAGAAAAAAAATGTTTAAAATTTTTGGAAAAAACAATCATATATTTTTATGACCGGATTTGAATATTTTTCTATTTTTGAAATAAATGGTATTTTACCAAATGACTCAAAAATTCCGACTGTAAAATAACAGGTATTTTAAAATTTTTGTTCAGGTATTTTAAAATTCTTTCCGTTTAGAATTAAGATAGGTCATACATACACATGCAGGGACATTTTATAAATAGATTGCTCTTGTTTACCTGCTAATAAAATATGAAAAAAGAGCACAGCAAAATTTTTGAAGAACTCAATATAACGTCTTTGAAATAGTTTTAAAATAATTATTTAAAAAAAAAATTATTGGAAGTAAGTACATACATATTTATTTTTAATGACTTAAGAACTAACTGATATTATTTGAAACAATTTTATAAGTAACGTATAAATAACTGAAATGAGATAATTCAAATTGTTGAAATGTGTCAACCTATATTACTTTTATTAACATTTTTGTTAACCGATACTACTCATTTTACCTTATTGGGAAATACAAAATGTGCATAAAAAATCATACATCCTTCCTCATTAACATTTGAAACCATACTGAAATATGAATTTGAAATTTTTTTTCATTTTTTCTTTCCTCCTACCTTTCTTTCTTTTTCGTGCAATAGAATTTAAATGGGAGCGTTTTAAAAAATGTGTATCATAGTATACCTACTAATAAGTAGTTCGACTCTCCGTTTACATCACACTAATGCAATCACTCACCAATGTTTGTATACAACAAATTCCCTTAGTTAAAAGAGTTAAGCAGTATACCTTCTTATTTTCGTTTTTATACACATAAGAATTTTTGGGAGAGGGAAAGAGTACGCAATAGATGTCAACCTGTTTTTTATAATATTATTTTGAAAGGCGACACTTTATTATTTGTTCCTATATAAAGTATAGGCACAAAAAGCGACACAATAATTTCTGTAATTCATTCCAGTACAAGGTGGCAAAAAATGTGTATTATATTATAAAAGCGAAGAAGAAAAAAAGTGTTTAAAAAAATTATTATAATTTATATAATATAATTTTTACAAATAATAAAAATAAATTTTGAAAAGACGTACAATAGTAAAAAAAATTTAAATAGTTGTGAAAAAAATATTTTCTTTTATAAAAATGGGTAAACATTATTTGAAGTGTTTGGGATGAAAAAAAGCCGACACGAAAATTTCATTTGTTGCCAAAAGATGTGAAGAGGTAAATATGTACTTTTGAAAATATTTTAAATATTTAGTGTTAGGCATTTGTAATTAATAAATAAAATAAATAAATTATCTTTAAATTTTTTATTTTTATTTCAATCTTAATAAATTTAGAACATATTTGCCATGAATAATATATTTCCCGGTAATAATTATATTTCATAAAGTAATCAGTACCTTTTTTTCTTTATAAATTACTTTATTTCTATGTCACTACCTGATACTGTGTATCTACTGTACCAGGTACATGCATGTGTACATTCATACATGAAATTTCAAACTCTTTTGCTTTCATACATTCGAATTTTTTACCTAAGTTTTATAAAATGAAAAATAAATTTTGTTATTATCAAAATAAAATAACAAAATTTTTACCTAATTTAATTTTATTCTAGTTCAATGTTTTTGATACACTCGTTTGTTTACAATATTTTGTTTCTTTCTTGCCTACACAACTCTTATTACCATCTATTTCTAAAAAAAATGGAATAAATGGAAAAAATGGAAAGAATTTGGAAGCAAGATGCAAACGAAAACTAACGGAATGGAACGAGTTGAATTACTTATTAGTAGATATACTTTGATGTGTATAATATCGTGAGATTTTTTAAAATATTAAACTCTTTTTTACGTAAAAAAAAAAAAAAAATAATAAAAAATATGACACGATCAGTGGCATTTAAAGAAAAAACCAGCAACGAAGCCAAAAATTCGTAATATTTCGTAAAAAAAATTGAGTATTGGAACTTGTTAGATATAAAGACATTACAGGATATTATACACTAGTGCTGTCATATTTTTCTCTGAGCATTGGGACTTGTTAGATATAAAAACATTAGCTTGTCGGTTTAGTTGTGACCTATTTAAAGTCAAGCTATTTTTTCTCTCAACTGTTCTTTGATTCTTCTGAAAAAAGCTGGTTGTTTTTATACCCTGCACTTTGTGAAGGGTATATTAACTTTGGTATGGAGTTTGTAACTAAGTGAACTCAGCGTAAAATTCTGCGTTGATTTAGACCATAACTCAAAAACGAATAATGCAATCGATACCAAACTTTCACAAGTTTTTTCTTTTGTGCCATGGACGAACTTTATTGTAATTGAACTAATTTGGACAACTCAAGGAGTTTATTTTAAATATTTCAAAAACTAATAAAGGTATCAATATAAAATTTTGTATACATGTGTCCAATTATATTCTACACATGCAAATTTTTAATATTCGGCAAAATAATAAAGTCAGATTCATGAAACTTGGCAGTCATGTGTCCAATTATAGATCAGATATATTTCTGAAGTTTTAGTGAAATTGTTTGACAGGTTCGAGTACGTGCCATACAACTCTAGAAGCTAATTTTAAATATTTGGAAAAATAATAAAGTCAGATTCATGAAACTTGGCAGTTGTGTGTCCAGTTATAGGTCAGACATATCCGTGAAGTTTCTATAGAATGGTTTCACAGGTTTGAGTAATTGCTATACAACAACGAAAGGTGCAGGGTATAATTCAATCGGTTTATAAGGACTGAATTGACAAAAATTGTGTGTGGTAGTAATCCAATTTTAAAATTTATAAAAACAATTAAAAACATAATGGGAATGAAGATATTTTTAAACATAATGGATAAAAATACAATGATTATGCAGTTACTAAAACTTAATTTAAAGAATTATATTTATATAACATAAAAATAGAAAAACGGTAATTGGAGCGAAAAGGTTTGGGGTCAGACATATTTTAAAGGAAAGATTGACCAAAGAATAGTCTGGTTCAGGAGGTGAGGCTAAGAGATGAAGAAGCCTTTATAAATTTCCATTGTACGGACAAAAAAAATGTTCGATAAATTGATTTATCAAACATTATAGGGCCACCATTTAAAAATATAAAGATTTTTCATTATGATTCATATTGTAGAATTTATTTTAATTTTAGTAAGTTCGCGGCACTTAAATTTACATTTACAAGTCGCCAATTAAATTATTAAATATAATAAATAAAAATACGTTAATACAGTGGAAATTACAATTAGAATGTTTTTCCAGGAACCTGTTCAGAAATACTTTGTGCACCATTTGACCTTTTCTGGCCACATAACTTTTTCCTCTATTGTTTATCCTATTTTTATTATCTTTCCAGTTTGAGGCATTAATTTTTTTTTTTTACCTCTATTGATCTTTTTTACTAAGCGATCTTCACAATTTTCGGACACGACATCTTTATTTTAGAACGTTTTTCCACAAACTGCCAACTTTGAGAGCCAAAAACAATGCTTAAGAAGTGTGGGAGACCATTATAATGTTTAAGAGAAATATAGAGAATGGAATAAGGAACATTTTTTTAGCAAAACATAACATTCGAAATTTTGTAATTTAGAATGTTATTCGCGCCGCACGTTCATTTGTAAAATAAATATTTTTAATAGTCTATACCTATAGTTGTTTTTGCTTCTACGTTCAAAATTGAATTAAAATTTTATTCCACTTTTCTGACCTTTGAATTGATGTTTTACAAAAATCTCTGCACTAAAGTTGAATTCGATTCAACTTTTTGAAAGAGAAAAAACGCTGTTTTAAAATAAGAAGAATGTCAAAAATACAAATTTTCATACAAAGCACGTCAGGAAAGCGACGAACCAGTGAATCCATCTTTAACATGTTTTGACATATGTTTTGCTAATATTATAATACGTCGTGTGTTTCACGGCTGACATATTTTTTGTAATGTCAGGTATGTGCATATTCAATTTTCGGTTGTTGTGCAGGGCTGACAATTTCAGTATGTCAAAATTAGGCTAATTGACGTTTAATATTGTTGAAAAAATTAACTTGAGAAACTACTATAAGAGAATACAAATTTCATGCAGATTTTATATAAAGAAAAGACTGTGTTTTTTCAAGAAAGTTTTATTATTCTGAATCAAAAATTTATTCAGAAACTAAAGCCTTTACAAAAAGAACCAGTAGATACATATTAATTAAGTTATTGCTTTTCTATGTTATATTGATTTTGTTGAAAAAAGTTGCACAGAATTAGAAGAATGTTTATGAAGTAAAAGAAATAATTTGCGTTTTAAGTTGGATTTAATTTTAGTTGTAGTCAATTTAATAGTACTATAAAAACGTCGTTTGATAAATAGCAAATAAAAAAGCAAGACTTTTAAAAAATTCAAAATATTTTTTTGGCACTAATATCGACAAATATTGTTATTTCATATACATATGTGTAAACAAAACGAAGGATTTAAGATATCTGGTAGATAATTTATTACATGCAAAATGAACGTTGTTGGAGATTATGAGTACAGCACCAAAGACATGTTGGGACATGGTGCTTTTGCAGTTGTATATAAAGGAAGGCATCGTAAGGTATTTACTTTAGAAACAGTATGCACATATTTAAAAATTTGCAGAATAATTTAATTCAAATAATATATTACATTTTGTCAGTAATAAATAGTTTCAAATTAACTTTCGCTCATAAGACCCTTTAGTTAAATAATTTTCAGATTCTCTTTTGAAAATATAAGTCATAAATTTTTTGGTATTAAAAAGTTTATGTTTGATCATTAAAAATACTATACATTCTACCCAGAATATAACGTAAAGGATAAAATTCTATTTATGTTTCAATATAATAGGCGCATAAGTAATAATGCAGTTTTCAGAATTTAAAAACATTTGATTTTATACATAATTCTTCTTTGTTTACTACAAATAAACTCAGTTTTAAAAAGGAAAGTCAGTTAAGTTTCTTTTTGAAAATCTAAACCCAAAATTATTTTATTTTATTATTAGTATACCTAATTGAATAAAAATAACGAAGAAAAAATTTAAATAGTGCACGATTATTTTAAAATGAAATTGTTTTTTTTTTTAAACAGGAATTTTTTTCATTTCACGTAATTTCAATTTGAGAATAAATTTCGAATTTATTTTCAAGAAAATTTCAATAAGTTCAAAGTCGACACAAAAGTAATTTTATAGCTTATTTTATTATAAACGTTTTTGCTCGGACTTTACATATTGAATTCAAATGTCGAAACATTTGAATTTTAATTTTTAAATTTTAAAATTTCCCCGGAAATTGAAACGCAAAACAACTGTTTAGAAACTCGTTTTTTGGCTACGATAATCTCAATTATACTTTTCCAGTACGCGAATGGATTCTGTTAGCTTTCTCATGGATTACTCCTAAAATATTGCGGAAGTTTGATTCTGGAATTCAAAGATTCGCAAGACCAAGTTGAATGAATTTAAAAATTTGTATCATTCTTTTATTTTTCATATTCATAATTAAGTTTTACTGTCGACACTACAATTATTAAGACATTTTATACGTACTTAATAAGTTCTTACTTTTTGTCTCTACTTTTTTCATTTTAAGTCAAATCGCATTATAGTTTTATTATCCAAACACCACGTTGTGTATTTTTTATTTATATTCTGAAACAAAAAATTTACAAAAATTGTTTAAATATATTGTGTCAATATTTGCAGTTTAAATATATTGTAAAATGAATTTACCTTATTGAAATTATGTCAAGGATATAAGTAAATTTTAGTAGGGATTTTGGAAAAAACTTAGCATTACGGTGTATAATATGCGAGCATTTATATAAGTTCCACTTATTATAATTGGTTTAGTTTAAGTATTTAAAATTTTGCCCCGCACCAAGTACCAATCTCTTGGTTAAAAGCACTCCCTCGGTGTTTCTGCACGTGTTAAATTTAAAATATGCTAGAATTAAACACCGCAGCTTCTTTGCTGCAAACGGTTAACCTCCGAGAAATCTTTGTTTTCTGTTGATAAAAATCACACACTCCCTCATAACGTGCATTACTCACTGTGAGTAATGTCATCGAATTAGCTTTTTTACCTGCTGTTGGCTATATTCACCCAGAAGCTGTTGGTTATAGTCACCCTTAGGTTATCGGAATCCTCAAAGTTATCTCCAGACCTCCAGCCTCATTTTCCAAATCTCTTTTTTGAACGGTCTTCGAAACCACTGTGAACTCACTCCAAAGAAGCGTTACAATCTCATAAAACGAGCTTTAACTGCCATCGTTAGTACGTTATGACATAATTAATTCCATGTCAATCATTGTACGTAATTAAATGTATCAATGTACGTACTTAATTGAAAATTGAAAAAAAATGTTTACTTGCATTCTGTATATTAATAATTTTCAAATACAAAACAAACCGCATCTGCACTGGAAGACAAAAAAAAAGAAAGTTAAAAAACGTTTGGTCGCCTGGAATATCATTATTATATGTCTCATCATTTAAAAATATTAAATTTTCGATTATACATATATCTGCTAGTCTATAGTTAAAATACAAGTTGTTAAATTTTGTGTGAATTTAAATTTTTGTAAAAATTAAACATATTTTAAAACACTTCTGTCTACTTTTTTTAATTTTTAAATTTTCCATAAATAATAATAAAAAAGTTATGAACTTCGCCCTGGAGAAGACTTAATTTTCAGGAGAATTGCAGATATTAGCAATCGATTCACTGAAGTACAGGTTATATCCATTCGCCCCTTTCGTACGATACAGTAAATTGGGGATGTGAATCGGAAATTTTATCCATTTTGTCCATGAAGCCATGGACGAAGTTACGAGACCTTTTCAGCCTTTTCCTCTTGTGTTGAAGAGCCTTTACTTTGGACTTGCCATCCCTGATGTATGTATGCCATAATTTTTTTTTTTTTTATTTTTTTCTAATTTCTTTAATTTTTCCCTCTGCTTCTTGGATAAGAAATGGCGTTGTATCTTGCTTATCCGTTTTGATAAGAGTGGCTGCAATTTCTTCCTCCGGCGTTAGAAGAAATTCTTCACCTGCGTCGGTAGAAATGTGCTCTGGTTCCGTTCTTGCTCAGTTATTGTTCTTGCTGTTCTTGTTGCGATTGTTGTTCTTTTTATTTTCGTAGTTGTTATTATTGTTGTAGTTTTTTTTTTTAATTTCAAAGTTCATTTCTGGTTCCTAAAGTAGCAACTTGCGAAAATTAATTTAAAATGGAGGCGATTGGTATTCAAAGTTCGCATATTAATGAATAAGTTTCCTCTTAGCCACACAGTCTTCGGCATTTTCTGTTTCTGACGTATAGATACCAGACTGAAAATGGAAAAGTAAAGGATTCGCCACCAGCTAATGATACGCCACGAATGTTACTTTTTAGTCTTTTTTTTATTTCCCGCTATATCCGAGACCCACAGCACAGAGGTGGTGTCAGCCTTTACTTTGGACTTGCCCATGAAATTTTAAGTCCCCATGCATTAGTTACATGTGATTTTTTTTCAAAATGATAGACATTTGCCTTACCTTCATTTCACTACCAAGTATTTCAAGAATTTCACTATGAAGAAAATTTGAAATCAAATTTAAAAAAAAAATAACATAGTATTATCACATAGTATTATCAACCATCGTATTATCAACCATCGTATTATCAACTGATCCATCAGGCACGGACGTTTGCTTTTTTTATTACGCATTTTTAACACTTTTTGTAAAAATTGAATATTATTTGTGTGAATATGAATTTTCTTTACTTTAAATAAATCTTTTCGTACGTTTATAATAAATGCCAGATTGATTTATTATAGTAAATGCCAGAACCCTATTTAAATTGGATCGAGGTACTGGTTCAAGTAGATGCCATACAACTTCAAAATTTATTTGACCATATCTTAGAAGCTATAAAAGTTGTATTAAAATTTCGCACAAGTAAATACATTAGTAGGGCCAATGTGTTTGAGAAAACTCGTTGAAATTGTTTGGCTCCTTCTGGTAGTTGCTATACAACTTTAAAAGTTATTTGGCTATATCTCAGAAAGTATAAAAGCTGTGATATTGAAACTTTGCATAAGAAAATATATTAGTAGGGCCAGTGTTTTTGATAAAAGTCATTGATATTGCTTGGCTCCTTCTGGTAGCTGCTATACAACTTCAAAAGTTATTTGGCTTTATCTCAGGAACTACAAGAACTGTGATATTGAAATTTCGCACAAGTAAATATACAATAATATATAGGTAGGGCCAATGTGTTTGAAAAAAGTCGATGAAAATGCCTGTCTATTTCTTGTGGCAGCCATACAACTTCAATAGCAGTTTTGTTTAGTTAGTTGAAACTTTGAATAGGATAACAGATTCGTACGCATATTACAGAGCTGACACGGGCAACTCTTTTTTTTGTCGTTTACTCACTTTTTATACACTTTCAAATCAGAATTATCAGTATTTTCTAATGGATGTTTCACTTTTCCAATAAGATTACTCATTTTTTTGATTGGATTTTTGTATTTTTTCTGAAATTATCGACTAAATCTTCCACTTTCAAAAACAAAGTGAAAAACTTTTGTATACAGTTTAAAAAAAACGAGATCTGTACGGAATAATTCTTGTCACTCGAAAATTACAAGTACATGATTGTTTTGTTACTCACTTTCTTCTCTCTTTCCGAGTAAAATAGCGAGATAGACGATCAGGCCCTAAACTTACGTCATAATTTTCTCTCATTTATATCTTAAATTATTAAGAGATAAATGAGAGAAAATTTCTAAAACTTTCTAAAAATTTTTCAAGTTTTATAAAGTTTTTAAACACTTTCTTATACCAGACAGACCTATTTTATAAAAAAAACTGAATATGTAGTAAAACATTGGTGATTGTTATTCGTCAGATTAAATTAGAAGAGAATGTGATGAAAATGAAGGTGTTTGATAGAAGTTTTGAGGAAGAAATTAGATTGAATCTGATAGAAAAAATATAAAATTACCAATTATCACTAGATTTAAAAAAAATTAAATTTTTCCATTGCGACGCATATTCGTTTTTTGAATTTCATGTTGTCAGTTAATTGAGTTATTATACATATGTACATATATAATCTAAGATTAAATCTGAGTCTGATGAAAGACTTTGCCAAATGAAAGCACAAATAATACAAATTATTCTTTTTTTTATCAAATTAGCTGTTACGTTTTTAAAAGTAAAACGTCGACAATTAATTTTTTTTGGGGTTTCAGCAACGAACAGCTGATTTTTATTTTGGTTATAATTTTTATAGCAAAATTATTAAACAGGGATTATTCGATATTTGAAAGCGGTTAGATTTAATTAGTGGTTAATACTTACACCTATGGAAAAAATATAATTTAACAACAAAAATACATACCTACATATGTATGTAGGTGTATTATACAAAATTAAATTTTTCTTTGTTAAACGTACATACAAATATACAATTGTATATTTGTTATTTAGAGGTGGATAGTTGAAAACTATCGATAGTATCGATGGAGATATCGACACAATCGATAGTTTTCAACTATTGAAAATATCGATCGTTTTAAAGTC